TCTTAACTACCTGTTATATGACCATCAAGGGGAATTAGAGGAAGAAAAATCGTTTACAAACGACGAATTGGGTAAACTTACAAACCAGTTACGCAGATGAGCCGCATCTACTTCTTTTAGTGAGCGGTTTTGAAGTAGGTTATCTCAGCCATACTCATTATACACCCTCTGACTGATCTGAGGACACTGTGTGTGTATGCATGGTATGGCAGCATCAGCAAGCTTCTCAGTCGAAATTGTCGGGTTTCAGGAGAAGTAGCGAAATTGAAACTAAGGGTTCTTTAAAAACAAGCGAATATATATAATTATATATGGCGTGATGCCTTGTTCTTTTGAGGCTTCTTGTGATTACGGTGCCCGTGTGCAGCGCCGTATTGATGGTGGGTTGCTGAACAGCCGTCGTTTTGGGGCGAGAAGTGTGGTGCGTGAGACAACTATCCATAGGTTGCTGTTTGCTGATGACTGTGTGTTGTTCACACACACAGCGCGAATGCGTTGCACTGCATAACTTCGGCAATCACGGGGACAGCGATAAAATTCGGACTTACCATCAAAACAAACAAGTCGTTTGTCGTTTCCAGCCTTCACCAGGAATGCAGTTCTTGAGCTTCTCATAAATCGAGATTGCGGATGCAGCTTCGGAGACATCAAAATTATTCTTACTTCGGGCGCATTTCGTCAGCAGACTTATAGATGACCAACGTATTAAACATCAGCGTACCGAAGGCTGCTGCTGCGTTTGGCAAACTGAAAAACGTGTGTGGAACAACCAGCAGCTTACCGTTGGAACGAAGCTGCTGATATACAGGTCAATGGTGCTGTCTGTTCTTCCATACGGAAGCGAAACCTGGACGTTGTGCCGAAAGGACGTCAGATGTCTGGAGCGGTTTCATCGACGGTGCTTGCGACGGATTCTGCGCATCGGTTTGTAGACAGAGTTGCGGACACGGAAGTGCAATTTCACAGTGGTAGGTATGCTGCGGACTGCATACGTCTGCTTCCGCACGTGAGGTTGTTAAAGCAATCAGCCGAATGAGTTCGACGAGGATACCGAAACAGCTTTTGTTAGGCCAACTTAGTGCAGGGAAGCGGCACGCGAGAAAACCGAAGTCACGTTACCAGGGCTTGATCAAGGTGAGTTTATCACGAACTAATGATGGTTTCAGTCGTTGGGATTCAAAGGCATTTGATCGTCGCGAAGGGCGTGAGTTGATCAAGTGTGTGCTGGCCTAGGTGCAAGAGAAATCATTTTAGCATGGGGCAGAGAAACGTCAGTTTAGATGGTGACCGGTGATGGAGTCAACCCCAAGGACAATAAGCGCATGGTGTTGTATCAAATGGGGTCGCGATGGCCTGGGCTCCGGATCCGTTGATGAAATGTGGCTCCCACACACATGTTTATCGGTCTTCTTCCTCGGAGCTTACTCTAGTTATGTGGCATGTGGAAGAGAAACCTCGGTTGAGAAGGTGACAGGCGCCGATGGAGTCAATGAACAATGATTTATAACGGGTAAAAAAGCAGGTGCTTGACATGTCCTGGAAGGTGTTTAGAGTGAGAAAAGATAGATCAAGTGGTGGTGTCATGTAGGGTTGCAACTGTCTGCGCTCCGGCTCCGTTGATGAGACGTTGCTCCCATCCACATGTTTCTCAGTTTTATTCCTCCGGATTTACACTGGTTGTGGGGCATGCGGATGGAGCTGTGGCGGTGTAGAGCAAGCCACCCATTGTCCGTTTTAAGGTACAGGCATCCTGTGGCTCTAGTATTTAGACCGCAGTAACAGGCAAAACCGGAACCGGATGCTACCTACAAAATAAGCTTTAATCCGTTGCACGCTGGATGGAACCAAAATTTGTGCCTAGCACTGTCACGCAAACCGCACACACGGTCTCCTTCAGCACGGATTAACAATCTCCTAGACACGGTTATCGAGGTGGCGTTCTTCGACAGGTGAGCACCTTGTCAACATGTACATCAAACACATTCAGACCTGGGATACCAGCCAGCGAACGTCATAAAATATGCAACAAATTCATGGGCACAGTTACGAATCAGTAGCATTGAAATGTAACATACGCGCCACATCTGCCACATTGTTAGAATGCGTCGGCAAATAAAGCCAGATGCATCATATATAACGAGCGCTGATACTTACCCAGTCAGGTTTTCCGTTGCCTCGTCTAAACTTCCTGGTGGTTGCCGCTTTGATGGTTTACCAGACCTGCTTGACTGATGCTCACACATCCACATGTGCTACAGCACCAGATGCTTGATATCGATAGGATGGGCTAGAACGCTGCTTTTTGCTTGCGCAACCGGTGTTTCCTTTCTGATCCAACAGTCCTTCCTAATTCATCTATACATCAGCATGCTTGATGTGGTCAAGCCATCGGTGTCGATCCACTGTCTGTTGCTCTCAATACCTAAAGTAAACGTCACTCCATAAGAAACGCACTTTAATCACATCTTGGTAACCTTGCTTCTGTTTGCTCACTTTCACCTCCACATACGCAGCTGACAATGCAACAGACGTTTCGGTATCCTAACCTAATCCATACGGCGTGTAAATCTGCGCCATCCCAGGTGTCGCGAAAAACGTATGCAATCCACTTCATACATGCCACTTCGGCGGAGCACTTCCGTGTCCTCAACTCAGCCACATCAACTGATACACAGTATATGACGTAGGCACTGCTGATGCAAGCCACCTAGATATCTAATGTCCTTCGTGTACAGTCCTCATGTTTCCATGCCATAAAGGATAACCGACAGTACCATCGATTCGTACACCATCACCTCGGTCTCAACAGTCAGCTGATGACTCTTCCACACCCGATGTTCCGCCTGGCCAAATGCAGCTCTCTCCTTCGACACGTGGATTTTCAACTCTCTGGTCATCTTCAAGTCTGCTGACAATATGCTCCCAAACTAAGAATAACGTTGATGAGGTCTCTAAAGATGCATCAGCAATCTTGCTTTGTGAGAAGCTCAAGAACTCCAATCCTGGTCATGGCTGAACAACACAAACAGTGTTGCATTTCTTGTAGGTGATTCCGAGAATTTCCGCTGTCGAAGGGAGAGCTATCGTCATGTGCTGCAACTCATCCTATATAAGCAAATGTGATTTCATGTATACAAGTCTCTTTCTGGCTCGTCTTCGGACTTCTTCTTGCGGTCGTTGGGGCGAAGGCGTCAGCGGCGATACAACACTCAATCAGATATTCCACTTTGGCTGAGTAATAAAAGTTCTCATTGCACTTTACACAATGAATGATTTATAGCTTTTGACTGAAGCAAACCTTAGTTGCGGCCTTGCCGCTCCGACCATCCCATCTCATGGCCATTCGGATTTAGTTCTGGTCAACTGTTTTCTGCGTCTACTTCAACTTATTCCTTTTTGTTCACTTAAGTTAGCTGGATGATTTGGGCTAGGAGAGCTTATAATTATCGTAGAGAGACGTGTGTTGTAGCCAATCAAGTGAAGTGACCTGTATACATCATTGCAAAGGGGATTTTAGATGGAACTTTAGTTGAGCGTTTCCACAGAACAAAACAAATGACGACCAGTGATATAGATGATCAGTTAATCAGTCGCAGAACTTACGTTTTGTGACAACATACATCACCAGTACTCCGGATATGAGTTTTTTTTACCTTATCGCGGCTTTCCGTCTACGACACCATCGTTTTAACTGAAGCCGAGAAGTTGAAGTACAGACTAAATGTCAGTTTGCATCACGCAGCATAACTAAACAGACGCTGTCCCCCGTAACAATTATACGTCGAAGGTGAAGAAATGCATGTTCGTGACCCGGGGACATTCGTGAAAACGAGCAAGAAGAGTGTGCTGGATGCCTGGTGATTTCAATTACTTTTTTCCTAAGCTGGATGTATACCAACAGGTAACCCAACACGCCGGGTTACTTTACTATTGCCGGTCAGAATGCACTGAAGCTGAGAATTTTCGTGGCTTCACATAGAAGAAAAGGAGTGGTTAATATCGAAGTAATTTTCCAGATGTTGTATAACATCATACAACAGCGATCAGCATGGTACAAACTGTCGGAAATAGCTATAACAGTGGCCTTCTGTGTAGTTAGATTTTGACCTAGTTAGCGAATTCGCTTGTTGTATGCACCCGAGGTCACCGGCTCGAAGAGTAACAGAGTTCAAATGACTGCGGTACTGGTTGGCCAGGACCAGGTGGGAGGCCAACGGTAGTAAGATTTCCCAAGTGTTAGAGTGAGCAACACCGTTAGTCTCCGCTTTGTAACTTTATTACTTGCTGGAAATGCGATTCATGCTTAGCAGAAAGCCACCAAATGACCTTGAGAGGGCAAATTACGGGAGTTCATTGATTGGTTTAGTTCGTCAGTGCTAACCTGAAATAGCCAATAGGCTGTTGAGAAAATGGTACTTCATAGGACTCAAAAACGGTGTACTTGATAGTACCTTATACATCACAGACCTATGGGGGATTTGTTGAGGACGGTGGGCCCGAGGGAGCGATTTCGGAAAGTATGCTTATTATTACTTATCGGTCAAATTACAGCAGCGCTGTGGGCGTCATTCAACGTATTCGCTGAAATGCTTGATCGGATGGGGATCAACCTACCACTGGCCCAAACACTTCCCTCTTATTCGCTGATGGTTATTCTTTTTGGAACTTATAGAATTGGTCTATTGTGTTCATCTATGGTCTCATCGGCTAAAAGTGCGTCAGACAGCTACACTGGGATTTCCATGCACCGGTATCGGCGCCCTCTGCTTTGCATTACAGCTGCTCTCATCGATTTACACTCGTTTTGGGCCACCCTTAGTGCTTACAACTACACGAATACAATAAGTATTCCGCTTCTTGATTGCCTTGAAATACCCACCACAATGATTCTCAGCTACTGTATTTTACATTGCCGATACAAATGGACCCACTACGTTGGTGCCCTCGTGTGCATCACTGGCGCTGGACTTTTAATTACAGGGGACATTTTAGCTTCCAGCATGGAGCCAAGTTCACCTGCTCACAAGGCAATTTTGGAAGAACGTATCGCAATCGGTGACTTGTTGGCTGCCGCTGGATCGATACTCTACGGCATCTCCATTGTACTGCAAGAATATGTGTCTACTCACTACGGCCCTTCTACTTACCTGGCTCTGGGTGGAGCTGCTGCTGCCATTTTAAATGCTATCTATTGTGCCGGCTTAGAACACACACAACTTCGGGAAATTTTCCAGAAGGGTATGTCCAGTGAAAAAGTTGTTCCGCTTCATGCCATAATGTGCTTTACCGGCTTTGTCGCTTCGTTGTTCGGATTGCAGGTGACAACAACATACGCCATCACTCGATTCAGTGCAGTGTTTCTTAGCATCTCTTCAATGACTGCAGCTGTTTACGGGCTTGTTATCGGAGTTTGTCTATTTCACATGCCATTTCACTACCTATCTGCCGTTGCGCTGGTTTTTACGGTCATTGGAACCATTTTGTTTACAGTGTATCCCCTTGAATATAAAGAAACGGAGCAAATGGCTACGTGATGTCAACCCTGTTAATGTGCACGAGTTTGTAAGTACCATTGATTCTTCCTACTGCAATCTTTACTCCCCTTACCATTACATCATCACATGGAGCAGGATGTGAGCGTTTTGTAAGGATAAACTGCGTGCTCTGTAATCTTGTTTTTAATCACAAGAATGATACCAGTAATAATGCATATTCTCTAGTTTACGAGACATGTAATACCTTTGGCATCAATTTTTGTCCAAACCTGCACGGTTGTAACCCACCCCTATCCGTGGTATCATGATGTAGCTGGTGTCTGACAGACCGAATAGCAGTCTGGACCGGTAATTATACTATGTCCACAACGTCAACTAACGCATGGCACCAGGTAGCTAGGAATCGGTGGACATGTGAAGACACTTAGGAAATACCAGCACAACTGTAAAACTGTTTTCATAAATGAAATGAGGGTAGCATGTTCAATACATACACCTCCGCATTCGAGCAAGAAACAAACGGCCATTCTCAAAAGGTGTTAAATGGCGCCACAAGAAAAACTGACAGGAGAGGACGGAGTTATTTGATCAGCTAAATGATGTACTTTGCCAACTGGAACAAGAGAGAAGATGAGAACTTAATCGAAAAGCTTACATATCTGGGCATGCAAAGATGCGGTCAAGCATGTTTTGCACAGTTGACTTTTTAATGCTGTTACCACCATTCTTCTTGTTTCCAAATAAAAGCGACTTTTCATAAGTTCAAGTACTATACTGCTGACTGGTCCATGCGCCATACATAACTAAACTTGTAGCGCACTCCCTTCTATGGCAGGATTTTTGAGATATAGTACTTCTGCACAGAGAGATGGAGCGCCTAGGTGAATATGACTCTACGTTACAATCAGCTATCGTGCTCATACAATGCAGACAGTGCTTCCTTTAAGCCAACATTAGTACGCTCGCAAATGTGATGCGAAACAGTGATATCTGTATATATATATATATATATATATATATATATATATATATATTTACATATATATATATATATAATATATATATATATATATATATATATATCCGTACATTCCAAACAAGATGAAGCTTCTTTCATCGCAGGGTGACTGCGCCATTACAACTCTACGGTGGACATTCTCTTCACTGACATTCGAGTTAGACGGTTGAACCAAAGGCCAGAGGGTGTTCTAGAACAGATCACATCTGAGGGAGTGAGCACCTGGGAGAATTTTCCGCCAACAGAAATCCGTCGACCGTGTCGATGTCGTCTCTTTGTTGTACGTATCGTCCCCTAGGCTAGCAGTAACAAACCACTCTCGACTGCAAACTGCAGTAATGGTATATTTGCATCGTATTCCGACGCTAACCTTGTGACAATTGTATCCTGCACAATCGCCCCGTCACTTAGGTCCTCATACCGAAACAGGCGGAAGAGCAGCGCGCACTTCTTTGGGAATGCGGAGCAATCGAAGGTCGTGAATCGCAAGGAGTGTCGTGAACGAAATCAGCCACTGTACTCGCTGCTCTCCGACTTCATCACAATGTCTGATACCGTAAACCGAAAGGCATTGTGGCTGCTGTTTGGTCAGTTTGGTTGCCTGAGTAATTTTGCACATCTAATTGGATGTTTGCACAGTGGTATGCGGTCGAGGGCACAGCTGTGTGGGCAAACCTCGGATGACGTCGTTGTTGTCTCCGGCGTGAGGCAAGGTTGTATCTTTGCCCAGTTTGGGTTTTTGATATTTAGCTAACTGCCATCATGTTTTGTGCTCTAGATGCATAGGAGTATAGTGTCAGTCTTGTGCACCGCATCGGTAGTGAGTTGTTGTCCATTGACCATGCTGGCGCGATAATCCGGGTGCATGAGACAGGCATTCGGATGCTGAAGTTTACTAAGAACTATACGTTATTTGCACACAATAAGGATGAGTTGCAGCACATGACGATAGCTCTCCCTTCGACAGCGGAAATTCTCGGAATCACCTACAAGAAGTGCAACACTGTTTGTGTTGTTCAGCCATGACCAGGATTGGAGTTCTTGAGCTTCTCACAAAGCAAGATTGCTGATGCAGCTTTGGAGACCTCATCAACGTTATTCTTAGTTCGGGAGCATATTGTCAACAGACTTGAAGATGACCAGAGAGTTAAACATCCACGTGTCGAAGGAGAGAGCTGCATTTGGCCAGGCGGAACATCGGGTGTGGAAGAGTCATCAGCTGACTGTTGAGACCGAGGTGATGGTGTACGAATCGATGGTACTGTCGGTTATCCTTTATGGCATGGAAACATGAGGACTGTACACGAAGGACATTAGATATCTAGGTGGCTTGCATCAGCAGTGCCTACGTCATATACTGTGTATCAGTTGATGTGGCTGAGTTGAGGACACGGAAGTGCTCCGCCGAAGTGGCATGTATGAAGTGGATTGCATAGGTTTTCCGCGACACCTGGGATGGCGCAGATTTACACGCCGTATGGATTAGGTTAGGATACCGAAACGTCTGTTGCATTGTCAGCTGCGTATGTGGAGGTGAAAGTAAGCAAACAGAAGAAAGGTTGCCAAGATGTGATTAAAGTGCGTTTCTTATGGAGTGACGTTTACTTTAGGTATCGGGAGCAACAGACAGTGAATCGACACCGATGGCTTGACCATGTCAAGAATGCTGATGACTAGATGCATTAGGAAGGACTGTTGGATCGGAAAGGAAACACCGGTTGTGCAAGCAAAAGCAGTGTTGTAGCCCATCCTATCGATATCAAACATCTGGTGCTCTAGCATATGTGGATGTGTGAGCGTCAATCAAGCAGGTCTGGTAAACCATCAAAGCGGCAACCACCAGGAAGTTTAGACGAGGCAACGGAAAACCTGACTGGGTAAGTATCAGCGCTCGTTAAATATGATGCATCTGGCTTTATTTGCCGACGCATTCTAACAATGTGGCAGATGTGGCGCGTATGTTACATTTCAATGCTACTGATTCGTGACTGTGCCCATGAATTTGTTGCATATTTTATGACATTCGCTGGCTGGTATCCCAGGTCTGAATGTGTTTGATGTACATGTTGACAAGGTGCTCACTTGTCGAAGAACGCCACCTCGATAACCGTGTCTAGGAGATTGTTAATCCGTGCTGAAGGAGACCGTGTGTGCGGTTTGCGTGACAGTGCTAGGCACAAACTTTGGTTCCATCCAGCGTGCAACGGATTAAAGCTTATGTTGTAGGTAGCATCCGGTTCCGGTTTTGCCTGTTACTGCGGTCTAAATACTAGAGCCACAGGATGCCTGTACCTTAAAACGGACAATGGGTGGCTTGCTCTACACCACCACAGCTCCATCCGCATGCCCCACAACCAGTGTAAACCCGGAGGAATAAAACTGAGAAACATGTGGATGGGAGCAACGTCTCATCAACGGAGCCGGAGCGCAGACAGTTGCAACCCTACATGACACCACCACTTGATCTATCTTTTCTCACTCTAAACACCCTTCAGGACATGTCAAGCACCTGCTTTTTTACCCGTTATAAATCATTGTTCAATGTTCATTGACTCCATCGGCGCCTGTCACCTTCTCAACAGAGGTTTCTCTTCCACATGCCACGTAAGTAGAGTAAGCCCCGAGGAAGAAGACCGATAAACATGTGTGTGGGAGCCACATCTCATTAACGGAACCGGAGCCCAGGCTATCGCGACCCCATTTGATACAACACCATGCGCTTATTGCCCTCGGGGTTGACTCCATCACCTGTCACCATCTCAACTGTCGTCTCTCTGCCACATGTTAAAATGATTTCTCTTGCATCTAGGCCAGCACTCACTTGATCAACTCACGCCCTTCGCCACGATCAAATGCCTTTGAATCCTATCGACTGAAACCATCATTAGTTCGTGATAAACTCACCTTGATCAAGCCCTGGTAACGTGACTTCGGTTTTCTCGCGTGCCGCTTCCCTGCACTAAGTTGGCCTAACGAAAGCTGTTTCGGTATCCTCGTCGAACTCATTCGGCTGATTGCCTTAACAACCTCACGTGCGGAAGCAGACGTATGCAGTCCGCAGCATACCTACCACTGTGAAGCTGCACTTCCGTGTCCGCAACTCTGTCTACAAACCGATGCGCAGAATCCGTCGCAAGCACCGCGGATGAAACCGCTCCACACATCTGACGTCCTTTCGGCACATCGTCCAGGTTTCGCTCCCGTATGGAAGAACGGACAGCACCATTGACTTGTATATCAGCACCTTCGTTCCAACGGTAAGCTGCTGGTTGTTCCACTCACGTTTTTCAGTTTGCCAAACGCAGCAGCAGCCTTCAGTACGCTGATGTTTAATACGTTGGTCATCTATAAGTCTGCTGACGAAATGCGCCCGAAGTAAGAATAATTTTGATGTCTCCGAAGCTGCATCCGCAATCTCGATTTATGAGAAGCTCAAGAACTGCATTCCTGGTGAAGGCTGGAAACGACAAACGACTTGTTTGTTTTGATGGTAAGTCCGAATTTTATCGCTGTCCCCGTGATTGCCGAAGTTATGCAGTGCAACGCATTCGCGCTGTGTGTGTGAACAACACACAGTCATCAGCAAACAGCAACCTATGGATAGTTGTCTCACGCACCACACTTCTCGCCCCAAAACGACGGCTGTTCAGCAACCCACCATCAATACGGCGCTGCACACGGGCACCGTAATCACAAGAAGCCCCAAAAGAACAAGGCATCATGCCATATATAATTATATATATTCGCTTGTTTTTAAAGAACCCTTAGTTTCAATTTCGCTACTTCTCCTGAAACCCGACAATTTCGACTGAGAAGCTTGCTGATGCTGCCATACCATGCATACACACACAGTGTCCTCAGATCAGTCAGAGGGTGTATAATGAGTATGGCTGAGATAACCTACTTCAAAACCGCTCACTAAAAGAAGTAGATGCGGCTCATCTGCGTAACTGGTTTGTAAGTTTACCCAATTCGTCGTTTGTAAACGATTTTTCTTCCTCCAATTCCCCTTGACGGTCAT